ATATTCATATTAATTGTATTATCTTCCAAAATATTTCTCAACTTTCTTCCTTTTCCGTATAATTATATATTTTACATTATTTATTTGCATAGATACTTGAATGTAGTGTCAAAGACGAAAAAATTATATATAATAAAAATGAATGGGATTTTGTAACCAATTATGATCAACAAATTGAAAAAATGTTTATTAAAGGCCTATCCAAAGAATTTCCTGATCACAAGTGAGTTGCAACATGAACTGTAATCACATAAAAATAAACTAATTGGAAATCATTAGTTAATCAAATTTAAATTTAGTTTAATAATTAATACTATAATATTTATCGTAAAGATGGTATTATGTTCTAAATATCTAAATATCTAAGAAACTAAATTCGCTAAAATATCTTCCATTTCAGGATTATCGCGGAAGAAACAGTAGCTACAATGCAGAAAATGCCAGAATTGACAGACGCACCAACATGGTTACTCGATCCAATCGACGGAACTATCAATTTTATGCATTCGTTTCCTCAGTTCTGCATAAGCATAGCTTTGACAGTCCACAAAGTGCCTGTTCTAGGCATTATCTACAATCCATTGAGTTTAGAGTTCTATAGCGCGATAAAAGGCAAAGGCGCTTTTCTGAATGGAAAACCGATTCACGTCTCTAACATCACTGGTAATGTATTTAATGGCAGAAACGACACTATCAATATTATATTTTTTAAAACATTAATTTTCGCCGAGTCTTCACAATTGTGAAAGATTTTCAAAATGCTATATTTTTTATTTTGCAATTATTCCATAAAATTTGCATAATCATTGCAATCTGTGATAATTGATTTCCGTCGTGTATCTTCCCATTTTGTTCAAACTTAGTACTAAATGCATGTTCGGTTTAATAATAATTTATTTTTAATAGCAAGCTTTGGATTACCTACGTTAATCACATAGTTGATTCATTCGGGGGAAGAACCGAAATAATTCTGCGACGAATGGGAAAAGCCACATCTAAGTGCACCTGTAAGAAGTGCATTCTCATTGCTTCAAATATTTTACAGATCTAAAAAAAGCAATGCTAGTGCTCGATCCGTCAGCTATAAAAATAGTGGGAAAGGACAAAGACATATATGCAGCCAGAGTAAATGCTTTGATCGAGGCGACGCAGGTGTACGTAAAATATAATTATTATATATTTAAGACCGACAGATATAATCGGTGCACAATTAACTTGAACTGAAAATTGTATAAATTCATAAAATATGATTAGACATGAAGAACTGCCTTAACCGAATAAGTGAAAAAAATTTTCACTTATGTAATTATATATCATATTTAGCTAATCATGAAAATGTATATCTAGTCTATTATATATCTATTATTTTGAAAAGGTCCTTTTTATACATTTTCTATTAATTCAGGACCAGAAATTTCGGATCAGCTGCACTTTCCTTGGCGTACCTAGCGCGGGGTATAATAGATTGCTTCCATTTGGATAACGTTCTTAAACCTTGGGATGTAGCAGCAGGAATACTGATTATACGCGAAGCGGGTGGAACTGTTATTGACTCGAAAGGTACGAAAAAACAAATTAATTAAACGAATGGCTAAATTTTGCAAATTTTCTGCCGTAATATGAATTATAAATATAATAAAAAAATTTTTCTTTAAACAATTTACCTATAAAATATATAATATTTAATTTAATATCTAGAAGATAAATATTAAAAAAACTGAAGCTCAGAAAATTGACTCGCAAGTTGCAAAGCAATATTATAGATAAATATATTCATATTGAAATACTTTCATTATAAGTAAAAAAACAATTATTTTCAAACAATCATAGTTTACAGTCGGAAATTTTAGACTTAATTTTATCAGAATTAGACACAGAATTTAAATCAAACTTGGGACAACGATTTCTTACAGAACAATACAAGAATCAAATGGAAGGAATAAATGCAAAAATAGATGATGTTCGATTATTGCAAAACTAATTATTATAATCATCTTTATAGGTGCTGCTTATGATATTATGAAGCCGAATACTACCGCAGCGGCAAACGAAAATCTAGCAAGAGAGATATCTACATTAATCATCGATACTGATTTAAAAACACAAAGAAAAAGACTCAAAAGAACTTGACGTAAGGCAAAAAATAACTCACGCTAATTGATTCAAGAGCTGAGTATAAAACAGGAGAAGGTGTGTTCCAGCAGTGAACGTATATCTATCGCGTAATACAAGGAAATTGTTTATAAAAATTAATCTAAAAACGTTTCTGTTAAAAAGTCCTATTGACGCACTTACAGATGTCTTACCTACGAGATCAATTCGAATATGTTAACCAATGTTGTAAAGTGAGAATTAGGATAATTAATTTTCCTTTGGATAAATTTTCCCGTTGTCATTGTAAATAGAAGTAAAATTATTGTAAAGCTTACTTAAAGCAATTTACTATCGAACTCATTATAAAATTTTAACATTTATCGTATTAATACAGTATAAAAATATTAAAATATAATATAACAATATACGTATTTTACACACAATAATATTTCCTGAAACTACATTTTATGTTAAAACAACTGTTTTGTGATATATTATCGATACTATTTTTCGTAAGAGTTAAATTTAAGATTACACCGTTTAAAATTAAAGTTTAACATAGCACAGTTTATCATATTTAGTAAACACGATAATGTTAGTATTGTACCTACTAACAGATATATATTATAAAATATATATTAGAAAAAAGGATTGCTTTAATTTGTTTTGTCATAAAATATTACTAAGATATGTGAGTGTGTAACAGAATTACTTATTCAGAAACTGGAAGGAGAAACATAAATCGTACGTGGCCATATTAATAAATGATGTGTGTGTGATCATGTATATTATCCACGACTATTTATTTCTTAGTGAAAAAATTTATAATGCACACATTAACACTTATTTATTTTCGCTAGTAGGTATGAGATTTGCGGTAGATATTAATTGAAATGATTACCATGCAATTCACTACCACACACACAAATTGACTTTCAAATTATTCATTCATTTAGTAAAACTTTTTTAAAATAGTTTTCTGACATATTTTTAGTAAGGTTTCTAATTATTGAATTAATACTATTAATTACCGATTTTTTCATATTCATCGATTAATTAATATAACATGTTAATTGTTCTATGAATACATCATAATATTGTGTGTGTGAATTAAAAGTTAATTTAATTAATAAAAACAATTTAACGAATTTCTGTATGCCGCCTGTCTTATAAAATACTAACATTAGAACATAAGGTAATAAAATTAACCGATGTTTTGAAAAAAAATCTTTCTCGATAATTCTTTTATTTATTATATACAATAAATATTCATGGCTGCTATCCACGTGTTATAAACTGCCTCATTATTTTTTTTTTCATTGCAATGGATAGTCTCAATATATATATTTACATGATATTTTCGATGTATGATATCTATAATTTAAACGGTTACACTCTTTCAAACGCATCATTGAGTTTATGCAATGTGCGCCTTTTTTAAAGACATTGCAATGTATAAATAAACAAGAATTATTATGTCATGATAAATGTCAGGAAAAAATGTAAAAAAAAAAATGTTGTTTCCAATAAAAGCTAGCGCTGGAATTCGATTTAATTCTTGATAAAACTTAAATACGTTTCAATATTTTAATTAGAATGAAAAATATTTGCAAAAAGATATTAAAACAAATAGAAACATAGATATATAATTTGAATAGAGATTGAGCCGATCATTAAGAAATATTAAGTGCTTGCGCAACAAATGTGTAAGCTGCAAGCAGACAATCTTACAATATAAACAATAAACGTAGAAAATGACAGAAATCACAAATCAGAAAAATATTGTAAGATAATAATAAAATTCTAGAAATAATTCCCAATAATATCAACTTAGAAAATATTTATGTAATCAACAACGCTGTATATTAACAAGTCAAGCAAAAAAATTAGCATAATTATAGATCAAGTCTCTTGAGAGATTCTGCTTCCAAGCAATATTTAAGATTTTTTAGAAATAAATATTTTTTACGAGAGTAATCCTTGTTTTTCTAATAAACTCAGATAGTAATTACAAGACATTAATAAGAAACAAACATTATAAACAAGCCATAAGATAAAACAAATATATTTAAGAGAAAATATCACTTTTAAGTAAGCTTATGTCGTATGAATTATTACAAATATTTTATGATTGAGTAACGCAATCAGAAATAGACTGAATTTAAACTTATTATAATTTATGTCTGACCACTAAACCACTCGAAGACGCAAAACTTGCAACACCTGCAGTTCCCATCTTGGTAATTAACGTAATATTTGCATATCTTATTATGACTTTATATCAGTAGCTATCATCGCAAGTGAATCACGCACACACAATAGCGCTGCCATACTATTTGAGATATCTCCCGGATTACTATACGAAGGATAGTATTATTAAAAATTTGTAAATTCTTTAATCGTTTAGAAAGAGGCTTTAAATATCGTATGGGAAATAAACCAGCGAGATAGCGTTGTTGATCATTCCGTCCCCTTTATAAAACAATCGCGTCATCGGGAGGCATCTCACATCATTGTGGTGAATGGCAGGTGCGTGCAATTAAGTACATCTCAGACGGAATATAAAATCAAGGTCTATTTTAGAATGGCATTATTGTTATCTCATAAAGATAGACAAGACAGTATAGTCTTGAATAGACATTACATCTTATAATGCATTATTTACTACATCTAGTTTTATTAGCTCATCATTGCAAAAATCAACGTGACATGATAATTAAAGGATTTAGATCATAATATCGCAATCAAAGATATCATATGCATATAACAAACAGACAAATTAGTAGCTTCCATTTATCAAATATTTTCTTATGTCGACAAGAGGTAGCAGCAGTTAAAATTTATAATCTTTAAAGGGTTTCTCGAGAAGTTAAAGCTCTCGAAATAAAAACCCGATAGAATGCGCCATAAAATGCGCCGATCGTTGTTCTCGGATCGTACCTGCTGCAGGCGCGACCGATCCGAGTGAAAAAGCACGAGGTGCAGACACGAGCAACACAGTGCTAGCTCGCGTCTTTTGCTGACGAGGTCGAAACAGACGCACGTTTGTACCGCGCGTTCACCAGGTTGTACGGAAATGGCACGATACGCCGAGGACGTGTACTACGAAACTGCTATTAAACTGACGCGCGAAGCTGCCCAGGTGAGCATCACAAATGCACGATCTTATCTTCATCTAGAATGAATGTTTCACGTGGTCATCGAACAAAGCATCAATAAACTAAAAATATTAAGCAATGTCGTTAAGATGATCGCTTGCCAACCGGTACGACATTAGGAAACCATTCCTTTACATATATACTTCCATAGTTACATATTTGAAGATGACGTGAACGGGAAGATTGTGACATTTTTATAATGTCAGATATATGACATCTTCTTTCAGATAATTTTCTAGACCAATTAAGTTAGAAGACGAGTATTGTGTGTCATAAAGAGATGCCTACATCTAAAGAATTTTAGGAAAAATATGCTATTTGTCATCCTATTCTGTATAGATATCAGATAGAAGAGACGTAGTCATAGGTATATGAATAAAATATCGAATCAAGTACCAATTATATTAGTAAATAATACAAAAAATCCTGACGTCAGTTTTCATGAATTTTCATTCATTCTGCGCGAGCAGTAAAATTGATCAATTAAAATTGATCTACACCAATTCTATCGAAAATAATAAATATCAAAAGTTATTTAACTAGCAATCATTTGTCACTTCTCAAAAATTCCTATCTTAAAAATAAGAAGAACATTCTAATGACGTCGATAATTTATTAGCGATAAATTCAATAAATACCTTTAAATTTTTTAATGATTAGAGCGATAAACAAATCTATTCTGCGCCGTAAAAACAATTTTTCCGTACTCGAACAGGAAAAATAGAATTCGCCGTGTAAATTGTGAAATGCCATAAATCAAGCGATCTTTAGTATAAATCTTTGCGCAATCATACGCATCTCCAACATAGTTGTATACGCGTTTGAAATGTGGAAAGAGCATTTATCTCGCGAATATAATAATAGTTCCGTTATCTCATCTTTTTATCTTTTATTTGTATATTTGACGATCTTTCAACGATTTTGTAACATACATATATATTAAATATACAGTATTATTTTTAAGATTCTGCGAGATTCTATCAACGGTTTCAAACATATCGACGAAAAATTAGGCGATTGGGACCTCGTCACAGAGTACGATCGACAGATAGAGGATATAATAATTGGCGGACTCAAACGAGCATTTCCAAACCATAGGTAGTGAACATTTCTTAGACAACACGTTTCGTTTAACAAAAAATAATTTACAAGTACAGAAATTAATGTACGGAAAATTAATCCAACTATACGATCAGGTTTATCGCAGAAGAATCGACTGGTAAAGACCTACCGGAATTAACTGACGCTCCTACGTGGATCATAGATCCCATCGATGGAACCACTAATTTCATCCACGGATTCCCACACACATGCGTGGTCATCGGTTTGGCCGTTAAAAAAGAAATGGTCCTTGGTATCGTGTACAATCCAATTCTCGAGCAGCTATTTACGGCTAGAAAAGGACGGGGCGCGTTTTTGAACGGAAAGCCGATTCAGGTGTCTAAGATACAAGGTAACGAGCTAATTTTCGTAATTTGATAAGATGCAATGTGGGCAAAACCGTCAAGGATGATATACGATACTTTCCGGTGAAATAATAAAAGAATCTGCTCCAACCAGTTTCACACATCTAAGGATCTCGGAATAAAAGAGATAATTTAAGTTTTTTATATTAATACTGAAAGTAGGACAATCAACGTCCTCCTGCTGTTAGAAAATATAAAAGATATATATATATATATAGATGTATCGTATCTCAGGTTATTCGCCTCTTTACCTTCAAGTTAAAGAATGACACATATTATAGATCGACACTTGCTAACAGTTGCATTGCAACACGCTAATTGTAAATGCGTAGCGGTAATGATCCAGAGAAATCATAACTACACTTCAGAAATATATCACAAGGATAAAGTTAGAAAGAGCGTCATTGTGTATAAATATTACTTATTTCGCAAATGTTAACGCGCATGTATATCAAAATTTCGCAGAACTGTCGAAAGCTCTGGTCTGCATGGAATCCGGCTTCATAAAAGTAGATGATCTACGGGAGAAAACGGTGGAGAGGATCCAAACGATCGTCAAAGCGGCTCAGGGGTAAGTCTTAGAAGCAAGTTTATAATAAAAAAATGTTAACCTGTTCCATCCTTTCGCACTATTTACTTCACCTTGAAGCATTCGCACTCTCGGTGTGGCGGCATTAACATTGTGTTACATCGCGCTTGGAATCGTGGAGGCCTATTACATCGAAGGTCCTGGTATTTCGACGTGGGACATAGCCGCAGCATCACTGATTATTTCGGAAGCTGGAGGCGTCGTCGTGGACCGCATAACAGGTTATTATAATGTATACGGTGATACTTTGCATTATCATTTAAATTAACAGTCGCAAACGGTAATACTAATCACAAAACGTAACTGTATTTTGCAAAAAAAACTCGAAAATTTCATGAAAAATAACTACAGTAAGAGCAATTAATTTAAGCTTATTTTTATCCGTATGACTATTGTGCTGTTCCAACCGCCAATTATCACGTTTTGCATTTCGTTACGCTCCAATGACTATTATACTAACTGACTAATCCTCCGTTCTCTTTTTTATTTCAGGCGAACCGATCGACATCATGAAGCCACGTGCGGTAGCTGCTTGCAACGAAGGAATCGCTCGCGATGTTGTCAGGCTTATCCGTGAAGCCGATCAACGTGTAAACATGAGGACAAAATAACGCCAAAAGTTTTCAAATATACATATTGAAATTGAAAATTTCTTTGTTATAATTCAACTGCCTGCACAATACCAATAAACTTCGAATTAAATTATGGATTAGCATCAGAAAGTATTACACTTGATCTTTTCAAAGGAATGTTAATAATTAGAAAATTAAGTAGAAACATAATACCTGATTTATATTAACATAAAATAGACAATAATAAATCTATCTCAACTGAATGAAATGATTTATTACTTCACAATCTCGATCGTGTTTTTGCGAACATATTTTTCCTTGGAGCTAATAGTCAATTAAAAAAGATAGGTAATTACATATTAACGCAAGAATGGAATATTCTATAATTATCGCAAATAGAGACGCACAAAAGAAGTGATTTGATGATCTGTTTTCTTCCACTACGTCTAATGATGGCTAAGAATTTCCGAGCGAGGATTTAAAGTTTGAAACATTCTCCGCATGGAAAATCCATGGACTAAGGATGTGTCACCTAATTATACAATCTATTAACGAATGCAAGAAGAAAAATACCGCGGTTTTCGCGGAAAGTACGTAAAACTATGATGAGGATGTAGACCCCAGACTCGCTTCGACTCACGTGCGTAATCAACTTACGACAAACGTACCTTCCAGTCTGCGCTCTGACGTCATATCGCGGACGGAATATAACTTTCGCGATCATCGGCCGTAAGATAAGTTTCGGCCGTTCCTACCTTCAACGTTCATTCGTGCATCCGATCTGGCACGTTGACAGTCGGAGTCTCACGGCATATATCAGTCAGCGCCACCGAAAAGACGAGTGCAGTTTACGAAACAGCAGTGTCAAGTGTACAGGCTGTGATCATTTACTCAGTATACTAAAGGGACAGAAACGATTGGGGAAGATGTGCGAGCAAAATAAATTAGACGAATACTACAGAATCGCTGAAAAATTAGTCTTGTATGCAGGAAAGGTAAGTTTATTCAAAAAAATATGATAAGTGGCAAGTACTCACATTTTAAGAGTGTGATATCTATGTAGATAGATGCTTCGAGATAGTTGCCAAGTCACGCGAGATATTAAGATTGATTTCAGTCTGGTTAATATTTGTTTAGTAAACAAATGTAAAAATTCAATGCAAACAAGACAATTGAATTATCAAACACTGTGTTTTAGAGTTTCAGTAATACTACATATTAGACGTAATTTTTTAGTTATAAATTATCTGATTTATAAAATTATATTAATTATTTGCCACTATTAAACCGTGTAAACAAAAATAATTTTTTCTTTACATACAAACATAAGAATCGAATTATTAAACACTGTGTCAGAAAATTTCAGTAATACTACATATTAGAATTAGACGTAATTTTTTTAGTTATAAATTGTCTGATTTATGGAATTATATTAATTATTTCCCACTATTACACTATATAACAAAAATAACTTTTTCTACACTACACACTATCGGAAAATTTCCGGTCACATAAACATCCTTTAATTGTGTCTCCATATCATAACATGCATTATACATCAGCAAATGTTCAATAAATAATGTATTTACATTTTTAAAGCTATTAACTGTGTACTTGAATATATTGTTTTATGTGGCAACTTTATAATGACTTCAATTATTGCCTATATTTCACCAGAATAGATATATATTCAAATAGTTTTCAATTATTGTATGATGCAAGACACATATAAATATCTCCTGAAGTATAATAATAATTAAAATTATTTGTTATTTAGAAAATATATTTTACCCGCACAGTATATTTTGCATAGGAATTGGTTTACTCGTTTAACTCTTATAATTATTTTTTAAGATATAAAAAATAAATTGAACTTTTGTTAATGCTTTTCATAAAGAAGGATTTTCTGTTTCTCAAATAACAAAGAAAATGCTGCAGATTCCAAAGTCAATAGTCCAAGATATGAAGTTTTTAGAGATTATTTTGGCCACAGTATAAAAGATAAAATTATATAATTATCTGAAAATCATGTATCTCCATGTAAAATTGATAGCTGAATTTAAAAATGATAAAATTAAAAATTAAAATAAAGAGAAAAATGATAAAAAATATCTTTTCAGAGAAATTTTTTATTTTTTCCTTAAAAAGCAATTATCACATATTTTTCATTGATATTTATAAATAAATGTAGGAAGGTCGAAGAAAAGAAAAATTTGAGTAAGTTTCATTAAAAAAATTTTTTTTTTCTATTATATTTCTCTGCTCCAATCTTTAATCTTACCATTTTCCAATTCAGTAACTAATTTTGTATGGAAATACATGATTTTCATACAAAATTAAAACTAAATTATAAAGACATGCAATTACATACAAAAATTAGACAAAATGGCAACAAATTAATATTATTGTGTGCTAAAGAAAATTAAATTCCAAAATAATTTACTAAAAAAAACTTGATTATAAAATATTCGTAAATATAGTTAATAATTCTCTCTGATAAAAAACGATTTTAAATAATACAAAAATTTACACAAACTGTATTAAAAAATAATAATAATAAATTCAGTAACTAATTTTGTATGGAATAATTTCATCCTTTGTAGATAATAGAAGATGGAATTGATAGCAGAAAGAATATCAAAAGTAAGGGGATTGACTGGGACCTTGTTACAGAATATGATCGCAAAATAGAGGATAAATTATTAAAACAATTGTCAATGCAGTTTCCATTGCACAAGTAAGTTATTATTTTCTAAATTCTTTGAAATAGAATTTCAGTCTAAGAAGTGATAATTGAGGCAGTCTTGAAAAAAAGTAGCTCAATTTTCAATCTTAAGAGTGAAATTTCACTCTTTAGAATAACAATTCACTCTAAAAGTTTTAGAGAGTGTGATTAATAGTCAACTACTAACAACAATCCAGTAACAAAATGATTATAAGGAAATTTAATCTTTCAGGTTTATTGGAGAAGAAACAGCAGCAAAGGAAGGCTGTCTACCACAACTGACCAATGACCCTACATGGATAATAGATCCGATAGACGGTACTACCAACTTCGTACACCGTTTTCCACATACATGCATCTCTTTAGCGCTGTTAGTAAACAAAAAGGTGGAAATCGGGATAATATACAATCCTCTTATGAGACAATTCTTTTCGGCGAGGAGACATTGTGGTGCTTTCCTTAATGGAAAGCCCATAAAAACTTCTGACATGAAAGGTAAGTACTTCTATAAACTTAAAATATGTTCATATTCGAATTGCACACAATAACCATGTTTCATGAAGCATACAATACCATAGACGCACATAAATCTAATTTATTACACGTATTACTATATCATGGTGGCCTTGCTGAAAATGAGTGTAAGAAATTCATCATTTTACGCTCCAGTGGAAGGTTATCCAATATCCATTAAAATCGCAGACTGAGCAGTTTTAATAGACATTAGAAGTTGTGTCCTTCAAAAAGCAATTACTTTAAAACATGATATAGCCATAATTTGTTTACTTCGTCTATCCAAATAATTACTCTACTTTCACACGTAAGAAATATTTAAAACTATATAATTATATATACTATGTTTATTTTTTGCAGACATATCTCAATCATTAGTGGCTATGGAACCATGGCTCGCAAAGGATCCTCAATATTTAGCTAGTGTATATTGCAGAATGCACGCTTTAGTACAAGGAACTCATGGGTAATATATTTTTTAAAGACATTTTAAAATATTTGTTAGGATATTTTAAACGTATATTAATGTATATATCAATTAGCTCAAAAAACCGTTAATGATAAATTGTTTCTCTTTCAGAATAAGATCATTAGGAACAGCAGCGCTCACGTTGTGCTATGTAGCAATGGGAGCTGTGGAAGCATATCATATTGAAGGTATCGATGCTTGGGATGTTGCAGCAGGAAAATTAATAATCGAAGAAGCAGGTGGAGTTGTGATAGATACCGATGGTAAATATGTGATTCTTTTGTCATTAAGACTTAATTTCACAATTATTCCACAAATTTATTTTCCCATATAGTCTAACTTGGAATCTCTCATAGTAAATCTTATTTTATTATACATAAAAAATTCTATTAATATAAAAAATTATCACACACACATTTACAGGGGGAGAACTAAATCTAATGACTCCGAGGGTTATAGCAGCATGCAATCAGCAAATTGCACAACAGCTTGTGGATCTTATTAAGAAAGCCGATTGTGAGATACTTAATAAAAACTTAAATTGATAATACTATTACTATATGCAGTGCTCATTACATGTCATATTATATAACACATATATATGCAAACACAGTATTGCTAAATGTGACTTAAGGCTGCATCAAATTTATAAAAGATTGTATCTTTAGGACTGATATAGCTCGTACTTTTCTCTGCACTGATAGTTACTGTATATTTCAGTAATTGTATTACAATCATTAAGTGTTCACAATATTAATAATAAATAAAAATTGTATTTGTAGATGGACTTTTAATGTTTAACCAAATATAATATTATAATAAAAAAAATGCTCTCCTATTTCATAACCTGTGCCTATACATGCACAACTATTACAAATAATAATAGTAAATTCAATCACTTGCACAATACTAAATTAGTGTACATTAAAGACTGCTTTATATAAATTATAAAGTATCTAAATACAGTAGCATAGTATTATATAATAAATTTTGACAATGAAAATAAATAATACATGTATAATACATTCTGTTAAATAACATGATAAAATCATAGAATATTTCAATATTTAAATTTCCTTTGATCGTGTAAAATTTTGCATCTTCCATCAGCAGTCTGGATTTTTTAATTTCAGTATAGATTTTTATATTGTTCTAGAGACTGTATAAAATCTAAAAAAAATTCTTGCATACTTATGACAATTTTAACAACAAACTTTTACTGTTACAGAATCTCAATTGTATTTTACTTTTTTTTTTGCAGATTTAAATTTAGATATTTACTAGAATCAGTTAAAGTATCAACTTCTAAGTCCTATCTGATCAGTGGAGAGCTAAAATATTAAATATGCTTTTATAATTAACCTTTCTAATTTCATGTATAGTAGCTTTTAATATGCATTAATCTAATGTAATGCAAGTCATCAAATTTTGATATAACTAAAGCCTATCGCACATGAAATGCATAATAGAGCATGAGCATAACATAAAACTATTGGACCAATAAGCATCCAGCATGAGAAGTTGCCATATTAATTAACATAAGATACTCATTGGTCCAGCGGTTTTATGTTATGTTTATGCACTGTTATGCATTTCATGTGTTTTGGGCTTAAGACCTAGTTTTTCATTTTCTGATCAACTTATGGTTAGACTTAACCTAATATTTTATCCAATGGATTTCAACTATGATAATGTTATAAGTGAAGTCCATTGGGTAAAATATAAGGTACAATTTAACCACAAGTCAACCAGGTAATGAAAAATTAGACTTAAGAGCAAAGATAGTTATCATGGTAAACATACCTGTGGACCCATATTAGGTGGCATCTGCTGTGGATGAGGCGGATAACTCTGTTGTTGGGGTGGTGGTTGTTGTGGTGGTTGCGACATGGGTGGTCCACCTGGTGGTATTGGTGGACCACCTTGATAACCCTGCGTTGGACTATGAGGATGATGCTGCGGCGGTCCCATTGGACTACCTTGGGCATTAGATGGAGATGGCGCCTGTTGTGGAGGTCCCATGGGACTGGGTGCTTGTGGTGGTGGCATAGGCGAAGATTGCGGCGAAGGACTCGCCATATTATTATGTTCAAAAGGTTCCAGTTTATCTGATTTTTACTACCTGAAAAAATCACAATATAAATGTAAGAATCTGTTCTAACTTTTTTCATGACTACCTATGAGAAGTACGAAAAACCTGATATGACTCAATCATTTTAACTCTTAATTTTATGTCACTTGCATTATATTACTCTTTAAAACTTTTAGTGTAAATGTTATTCTAAAAACTAAAATCTTATTCATCAAAACTGAAAATTAAGCCACTCTTTTTCAGGACTGACTCACTCATTACAGTGAGATTCCACTTCAAAAAATTTAGAGAAAAGATCGGTGCATGCTAATAGTTGCTATACAATAAAATTAGTAAAGTTAAATGGCACAGTTAAGGGTATATACATATTTTAAACAATTAAATACCCAAGAATGATACTGTTACCTTATTTAATAAATATATTATTTTATTGTTGAAGTTGATTATATTATGCCATTGCATTTAGATACATAAATCAGCCTTTATTGTATGCTAACCCAGTGTAGTGCAAGTAACCGAATTCATTATTAATTAAGGTGCGCAAAGTGCAACTATACATTTCAAATAAACACACTTAGATGAGACAATCTCTCGTTTAAACGATAGCAGCTCGTTCAAGAGAGTTTTTGTATCCAAGAGACCCACTACAGAACACATTCTATCTCTCTCTTTCCCTCTACCTATCTCCTCGTCTCTCAATGCCAAAGGCAGAACTGTATTAAATTCGAAAAACAACCAGGATAACGCGACACACTCGAGAACATTGCCGATCGCTCGTCCAGCTTGTCTCACGACACAAAATATGGTTTCGTAATTAGAAACAAAGCCAGAGGGTAAACCGGAGCTGACGAACGCGGTCTTCTCAACGGTATGCGCATCCCGTTGCACCAACGGTGCCGCCCATCTCGAGGCTCTACGTACCGTTTCGGATTTCACGTTATCACGACGAACACCCTGGAATCATTTCCGCGTGTGTCACTGCATGCGCGCACTTTTTATCAGAGATACGAGAACACGCGAAACCTACGCTGTGCCGAACGACTCCGAGAAACGCACGCTGTCGGCCATATTTTCACTCTCTTGAGTCGCCGACTCGCCGTAGCGTAGAGGTTCGCCAACCAATCACCGAACATGGCGTGAATGGCGTTCGCATCGCTTCCGCAGCGAGTCGAGAACGCGAGCCAAGGATAATGAAAAATAGAATATTCCTCTATAAAAAATATGCATGTCACGATATGCATATTTTCCTATAGATTTCGAGCAAAACGATATTGAACCGCGTTATCAAGTAATCGGCAATTAATTTTCTTTAATCCAATATAAAAAACGACAAGTCGACCGACAATTGACTCAACGATCGTAACGAAAATGCTATTGAAACACGACCTAGTTTATCGAACTATGCTGTGGACAATACGTATATTCAGGAATCCTTAAAATATTTCAGCGAGAAATGATTCATCGAATCGATGTCGATTCGACATCGAATTGATGAACTTTGACATCAATTCGAGATCAAATTGATTTCAAGTCATTTCTTGTTGGATCCGTTCAAATTTGATTTGAAGTCCAGGATGGAGCAGAAATTAGAAAGATTTTGGAACGCACATTCCAGAGCGACAAAATGGCTCTGACCAGAGGGATCAGTAAGCTGTCAATTCAACTGTTGAGAAACAAAGCGTGTTTGTATACTGCAGTGAGATGTTCTTCTGACAAACGTAAGTAACTATGCATGTCCTTTTCAATTTGTACATTGAATTTCTCACATTTTATATAAATAAAGTTGTTGCTCCAACAAATACCGTAATGAGGTTAGGACTGCTGTTATTATATAATTAAATTAGCGCTTTAATTATTATTATTTATTATTATTATTAAATTATTGTTTCATGTTCAATGAAATACACAGTGAAACCTAATATACAGATAAAAAAATGTTTAGAAATGTATTGAATATTAAAAGATTCGTCTTATAATAATTATGTAGCAAGGATGAAACTGTGATCAATGTTGCGTTTGTTATCAGCGCTTCCATGGAACTACCTCTGGAAGCCAGAAAAATACTCAGAAAAAGATCATGACAAGATCGCCGAGAAATATCATTTGCATCCTAAGAAATATCAACCTTATTCCAATAATGAGAAATACGTAGGTGACTATCCAAAACTACCCATGATAGGACCGGCTGCTAAAGATCCATACTATCCATATGACATACCGATATTTAGGAAAAGTTATCATGAAACGGTGAGTCTACATATACAGACTTCTGAAATTGATTTGTTGTGTTCTTATGCATCTCTTTTATTTCTTCTTTTTAGCTACATTCTGATTTTGAAATTATGGGTCAAGATCGTTTCAGTTATGGCGTTAAGTACAGGATTAATCCATATTTAGGATCTGCAATATGGCTTGCAACTATGATTACTATAATAGGAATCAGTTACTTGGTACAGCCTTATCCTGCTGTTCATCCAAGGGTCAGTATTCCAAAAACGTTTTTAATATCATGTTACAAATCAGTGATTGGTTTAGATATTTTAGTACTTTACCAATATATGTTATAGTTGGAGAGACAGTATCCCAAGGAGAATGTAATACACTATTCATTTGAACCAGCAGATTCGTGAAAATAGGAGTAGTCTCGAGTAATGTAATAGATACATAAGAAAAACAGCAGAGTTGATATAATGTATAATACATATGAGTTGTAATATATATGAATAGTATTTATATTACATCACACATGTTCTGTTATGTTATAATGTTTCTGCAATATTTGAATTTTTTGTCATTTGTTGTAACTTTAGTTTCTCTTTCTCTCTCATTTTTCTCTATTTGTATTATAGTCTTCAAACTGTATTTTATGAAAAAGCAATAAATTGCTAATTGATATCTTATCATGGTTAAATAGTTCGTTGACCATAAATATATACACAACCGATTTCTCAATATTAATTACGATATAAAAAGCTACTGATATTTTATAATTTCTAATAAAGCATATTTGAAAATAAAAATTAAAAAAAGCTTTAAAATTTAATTAATAAAATATTTTTAAAAATAAAAAAAGTATTTTTTTATTATATAAAAACATCAAAATTCTGTTTCTTCAATTAAGAGAATACTTTAAAATACAATATCCTGTTATTACAGCTATTATTTTTCATAAATGTTACACATATTAGACAGGCATACATAACAGTTATAAATTTTTGGTTCTCTAATGCTGCACCGATTTTTTTCTGTTTGTTTCTATTGAAGGTAAGCAAGAACGCAATTAGCTGCAGAACTTCAAAAGTACCATCGACTAACACATTTTTATTTCATTTCTCCGTACATTCATTACAAAGAAAGCAATAACATTTGATCCAAAACTCTTTACGCACACAAATCGTCCGTAATACAAGAGGGGGGAAGAGGAAAATATATATATCTGCATAAGATATACAAGTTTCGCGAAATGACATTAATTGCGTCGACATGGAAAGATCGTCCGAATACAAATTGTATCCTTCGTACCCGTGACGTACACGTCGCGGTGTATGGACTGTACTAAAAAATACAGATAGAAAAATATGACGATAGACTACGGAATAAAGTTATACATACGATGAAAACGCGTATGAGCAGGATGTATATTTCAGCCGTGTGTCTCGGTTGAAACTTGCCACGGCTATATCATTACAGTCAAGAGGGACGTCGTGGTGACACTTAGTAATATCACGTACTTATTTGATATGCTTAATCAATTGTTCGCTTCCGTTTTTTTTTCTCGACAATTGTATATATCTCGTTATGGTGCACAGTTTTGTAAATCCTTACGAATAATACATATATATTCCGTAAAATATTAAATGGTGCCCGTCGCCACATGTTCGCCTTCCTCTCGACACGTTTAAACGGTCTAAAAAGTACGCTCTATAGATGCTTTCGAGAGATATACGAATATTGAATATACGCGTTATCACGAGTATACAAAAATTCGACGCCGTCAATAGAGAAGCGATCGAGGAGAACGTATCTCGACCGAATCCCTTCTTGCATCGCGGTGTATGATGTATATTTTAATAAATTCCAAGAGTTCCAATCCCATTGTTATCTAGCGATTGTGCGAAGTAGATGTATTTGTATGACACCGAGCTCGAAGGGAGTTACCTGTTAAATGCAGCGAGATATTGCTTATATTCAAAATGTGAGCACTTGAAGCATCGATTTTATACCGCTATACTTTCTCTTTCGTTTCTCTTTTTACGTTCAGACTGAATTGCTAATTTCTTTATTGACTATTATTCCACGGAGACGTCCGGATACTAGACCGCGAATTTAAATCTGTATCCTCCACGTTGGATTGTATGCGCATCTTGAAAAGCCACTTCCTTCAGATTATAATTAATATTTTATACTTTTAATCAAAACACCTCTCAACGTAGTTAACAATTGTGATTATTTGAAGTGCACGTAATTTGTTTCCTCTGCACTCTGCGTGTATATCTGTTTACAGGATGCTTTAGAAATAAATGGCACAATTTTAGAAGCATATTCTACATATTTATAGTAAGAATGAGGAAAAAGTCACATATATGAATGTGAGTCGAAAAACACTTTTTTCTGAATTTTTCATTGTCATTTTAGGTGTTATTTTTTAGGTCTCTTTGACATTGGCGATTTCTAAAGAAAACTATTCCGACTTGCTCATCAAAGGGTTGCTATGGATTTAAAACCCTTTTATTTTAAATTTTTCTGTGTACAACATCCTGGGAAGTAATAATCAGTGATTTCTCATTGCGTTCTCTGCTTTCCGAATTATAAATACTTTTTGTTTACGGTAAAAATTGGTAAAAATACTTCGTTAAAGCTGCTATGTTAGCAACATCTTTTCTTTCGTAATAATACATGTCTCTCTCACATGTATTATTATTCAAAATATTTAACATTTTTTAATTTTATCACATGAAGCGATACGATTTTCGAGAATTTCCACTGCAGAGGGAGAGAGAGAGTAAAAAGAGCATCTTAAAATGTTCTCAATAAAAAAATCCAAAGAGTTTAAATCAGGATAACACGTGCAGACCATGATTCAATTGTAATATTTACCAATTGATATGATAATTATTATGAAAAACATAAAAACATGACTCGCACAGGAAGCGTTTCTTAATTCATGTTTATATGATTTTTTTCCATTCTTCTGATCAGCAGAATATGTTAATGGCGATCTCTTTATTTCTAAAACAACCTGTATAAATATATATATATAACGAAAAAATATATATTACGATTGTTATCGTGTTTGCGATTACACGACATAAGCAACTGAACAAATTTCTGGACCATTAAAGTTGTATTATTTTAGATAGTATTTTAATACACACATCTTACTTTCTTCTTCTTTCTCTAATAATTACCGTCCTATAAGTAGAGTTTTATGGATATGTCATCTTTGTCGCTGCGCAATAAATACAAAACGTAAATCAAGGAAAAGCGTCAATACGTACTTCTATGTATACGTGATACTTCCTAAATATTTACCGTGAGATCTACGCGAGTGCAAAGTTACATACATGAAATCTTTCGACGAAGGACTTGATAAAACACATCGATAGCGATTATTATTTATTTCGGTTTACTTATTCGCTATTATACGGACGAAGACCGACCCAAATCGACGCGGGATATCGCAGATCGACCGAGTCGACCGGGTTCCTCGTTTTATCGCCTTCCATTTCAACGATACACGCAGAAAAACGTTAATCCATTTGTTCGGCGAGTTATTTGATTCGATTTCATCAGAGTTTCGACCGTGCGCAAATACACGCCCGATCGAAAAGAAAAAAAGGAAGCCCAACACGCAACGGGAGGGAGGGCCAAACAATTCCGACGCAAGCCCGTTTTCCGAGATGTGGAAAAACTTTTTTTTTTTTTAGAACTTTAAACGCTGAAATGTATATTGAGATATTGACAACGCGGTTCGTTTCGTATTGTTAGACTAGATTAACAACACATATATATATATATACATAATGCAATAAATATTGTACGATTGAATTTTCGAGAGTTTATGAATGAACCTTGCCTCAGAGTCCGAGTATATGCAATAAATTACACGTATTCGTAACTTTAAAGTTAACAGCGATTGCTCTTTAGAGTCCATTTCCGTTACAGACTGTTCCCCCAAAGCTAAAAACATTTAGTAAACAATAGAAAAAGAAGATACAGCCACGTTACTCGCTATTTTAGTTTATAGTCGTGTATCGAGCGCGAGAAGAAAGCAATTACAGTAATTGTTTCTTCTTGGCAATTCAATTTCCTACTCGTAAAGCAGCTTAATTGGCCTATCTAAATCGATAAATCGAGTCTAATTTCTTCGTTGCACATTTAATGGATCATCTCACTCGTTTTTTTTTTTGGTAATACAATACTTAAAATTATATATTTACTTATATAATCTTCGCGCGATTGTAGAAATTATGATACAGTCCCGATACGTACAATAGTCTTAAGAAGGCCTTTCGACTATCGCCAGAATTTCCAAAAATATCATACAAAATATATAAACATCAGTTGTATATCAACACCAGAAGATAAAGATGTCATTAAAAGCCTATATGTAAAAATATAGCTGCCTCGAGAAAATAATCTGACAAAGATAAAAAAAAAGTAGATAAAATACAAATTGACTGCGTGCCTTGCTTGCCATTTAATACGTAATTGAATAAGAACGATATAAAAAAATCATGCATGTGCGGTACGTGCGAACCTAATATGACATCACAATGATTCTCGATCAACTTAGATTACTAATTCAACACAATATACTGTACATTTATAATTATCGATATAATGGTAAATACTCGCGCGTAAATTCAATTATGTGTACAATTAAATTATTTACAGCGTTAATAGATCTCTGTTTACTTCCTATCTCGAATAAATCATTTAATTTTAGCTAGAGTGGACGAAAACATAAGATGTACACTCGCATTCATTCGCGCACGGTGTGAACTAAACATTTACGATTTATGTGGTAAGTAGTACTAATATACTATATATGTATGTATATATATCGCTGTTATACATACGTATTATGACATATCATGCATATAGCTAATTATTTCTCCGAAAGATTTTACAAACAATCGTTTTATATCGCTAATAAGTAACATGAACAAAATGTTATATACAATTTCACTTACACTGCATATTAGCCAATTTTATCACATTAGTTTTTAATCAGGAATTTTTATTTCTCATACGCAGTTGTCATGAATATCAAATAAATGTAATCAATTATCAAGAATAAAGAAATTAAATTTTATCTTTTATCTAAGTTGTGAATAAAAGTCTGCTTTGTAGAATTCAATCTATTGGTACTAACTCTTTACATATATATGGCAGCTTTATAACTACTTTTTAAAATTTTGCGTATTTATCCTGGCAATTACTTTGTCTGGATTGTTAATACCCGTACTAGAACGACATCAATTGTTAACTAAATGTTTAGGCCTTTTTTGTTGCTGTAGGTACACTAACAACTCTTGATATTATACATGTGCGTATACAAATCAAGGATGACAATTGGGAATCAATAAATTGTAATTGTAGTGTGTGTGTGTGTGTGTGTGTGTGTGTGTGTGTGTGTGTGTGTGTATGCGTTTACATTATTACAAAAAAATATAAAGTACAATATAATTTTGCTA